TAGTGGCAGTAACCAAGAGTTAATTCTTTTTTCATCACAAAGGGAAAGATAAAACTGTCAAATTTCATATTCTCAAATTACGGTTGAATAAAATTATTATAACACCAATGAAAAGAAAACAGATAAAAAGTGGTGCAGAGTCCACTTGTGAGCTCTTGTGCATTTGGTAATGAACTTCAAAGTTCTATTTAAAGGACAGAGAGCTTATTAACTAACTTCCTGACCATTAACTGATCAAGAAGGAATCTGCTCATGAGGGTTGGTTTTAATAGTTAACAGGCAGTTCATCAGGAGGAAGATGAGGATGGCATATATTTGTGAACAACAACAATAACAATAATAATCTGTTGCATAACAGCTCCAGAGAGCGAAAGCTGACTAGCTGGCCTCACGTTCCCATGCCTAAGTACAGGTGAACGATCATCCAACCAGATATATATTGCTTTACACTTACATCTCTTATGGTCACCTCATTTGAGAGCTGGACTCGAAATCTGTTGAAGATTTGTCTAACCCAGCTCCAAAATCCTCCTGATGTTGGTGCTTCAATCTCTGTTGTCACGCAATGCATATCCTACCAAACACACCCACAAACCACAGAGACAGTTATTCTCAAACCAATCAAGATGCAGGTCTGCAGAATCTACACATGTAGAACATTCTAAATCAAACATTCTTTAAATAAAGCAAACAAAAAGTATCACAAAAATAGACAAGGCAGTAGAAACTGAGGTTCTCATAGCAATGAGTATGACAATGGCTGTCTCCTGGGCAATTGCCCTGAAGATGGAGGCAGCTAGGATCCCTGAAATATTAGTAAATTTCTACCAGATTACATGGTACTACAACCAAGAAGATGGCCATTTTCATCCCCACATATATGCCATATAAACAAAGTTGGACAACCAGTATTTTGAAGAAATCTATAAAATAAGTTGTATAAATAAAATCAATTACAATAAAGTGGGAATGGAGGATATTACATAAGAAGAAATTGTGATTTACAGCCTGCCTCATATTTATAGTTAAATGGAATATGTTACAATGTGCTAGGCTTTAGCTAGGGTACAAGCAGACAAAGAAAGTACAGAGAAATGTTGTGGGGACACCTCTTAGACAGTGGCCATTGGAAGACTGTGGACAGATTGGGAGAATAATACTGAAATAAGCTTTTTATAAATTATGCTTTCAAACTACATTGTTACACTAGCTAGTAAGTATAATGACTGACTACAGACTGGATAACCCCAACAGGGGCAGAGGATTTTTCCTCCAGAAGCAGAGTTTTCCTCTAGCCTCTGCATCGAGACCAGCTCTGGCACCCACCCAGCCTCTTGTCCAATGGGTACCCTGGTCCTTTCCAGGGGTATAGCACAGCTGGAGTCTGATGAAGTCTCAGATAATGAAAGCTCACAATTACTTGGTTGTTTTACTTCTTGGTTCAGTTGTCAACAGTTTTTTTGTCATCTTTTGATGTATCTGTTCTGTTAATAGTCTGAAAATATAGTGCATTTCCTGTCCACATGTTTTTTTTTAAGTAGATTGGGTCATGTGAGTACTGGAATGTGGGAGTGTGGTATGTTGTGAGAATTCTGCTCTTTTCTGTATATTATGAAATATATTTCCACACAAAATATATAAACTTAAGGCGTGTGCACGGAGGATCAGGTCTAGGCCTGTGAGCCATTGCAAGTGGTGACTGTTGAAGAATGAGACTCTGACAGTAACTGATGCCTGCATCGAATTTGATTCCGATGGTGACTGCGTGACAAGGATGAAGGCGATGATGTTAATGTAATGGCAGAAACGCATACATTTACGACATACGTATAGAAACTAAGAAATCTAATCTTGTGTATTAGGTGAAGCTACAGTGAGTGAAACTTTTCTGAAGACAGTGTTAGCTAACGCACTGTAAAGGAATGCGACAGGAAATGAAGTAACTTAGGAGATAAACAGATTTGTGCGGAAGATAATTTGCCGGACTAATCTAAATTGCATTGACTGATATAGACGCTAGGCGACTGGAGAATGGTCAATAGGTTATCTCACTTAATGCACAATCGGATTACTAATTCTTGACAGCTGACACCTCGCTGGAGAGTCCAGATATCTAGCATGTTTTCAATTGTGTACTTGGGTTGGTCTTTTAATGAGGGCTGTGTGAGCAAGTGTGGTGGAGTTTTCTCAGGCTCTGTCTCTTCGAGGAAGGAGACGCAATAAAGATACTTGGATTTCCACGCAGATGTTACCTTCTTGTGTGTTCAATCCCCGTTGGCGACCCTGGAGTCCCCTGAGCTAGCTGAGCAAACTGAGAGTGGGTGGTAGGTTATAATATATTAGTATTACACACACAGCTTCAGATTTACTGTTTGGGAATGCTTGCTTTATTTATTTACAGTTTATATTAGTAAGTACATTTTTTGTATAAACGTCACTCACCAAGGTTTACAACATACATAAGAATTACTAATTACGCAGCAATAGGCCATAGATTGTATTAAAATCTTATACAGGGCTGTATTAAATTTATGTAGAGTTTTTTCCCTCGACTGTAGACATCCAGACTGCAAGATACACTGAATTTAATTATCTATTCATAAGTTACTGCTATGGAACTGAACTGAGCTTCAGTACTTTTCAGGGAAACGTTTACAGTTGCATATTTTGTTGTTTTCAATTACTGACTGAGGAATGACTTTGTCTGGAGGATTAGCTTATGGTTGAGGGGGGTAAGAGACATGAACCCATCGTTGAAATGCAGTGAGTGTTTAGTTATTCTTTCTTTGAACCCTTCACTGAACTACAGAATTGCAGATACAGTTTTAACTCCACCAGCACTGCGCTTGCATTTGAGTTCAATCTTTGTTAACAGAAACGGGGTTTTTCTTTTTTGCTACGAAGGGAAAATTGGAGGAATTAACTTTATAAAATTTCATTGAGTCTCGGGTGTAATGTGCAATACATGGGAATGGGTTTCAAAAGATTGTTGTTATTTTTGACGGGTATTTCTCCAGTATATTTTGTATTAGGAATCAAGCAGAGCTCGCAGAATGCGTAAGAAAAAATAATATACAAAATTATGCACTATAATTGTGACAGAAATGTGAAGCATCAATAGAATGTTTGAAACGTATATTTCAGGTGAGGTTTTGATATGACCAACCAGACCATTCCCATTGTTGGGTCTTTGCAAATAAGCCTTCACAGTCAGAGGCTACGCGCAACATTTCGGAATAATTTATTATTCTCACAGTCGACAATTGTTAGCCCCACGCCCAACCCACAAGTCGGAGAATCTCCCCATGTCGGCTGTCCGCGAATGTTTGTTCGAAATACTCCGAATTTGGCTGCCCTCAACAAGTGATAAGGCGAGTCATCGCCGATTGTGATCCTGGTTTTGTGGACTACGGGGCAGAGTTCCCTTCCTCTCTGCGTGCAGTCTCTTTCTGGGGCCCACCTAGCCTGGAATTCCGTGACCACCAAGGGTCAAGCTGGCCGAAGCGTGAAGATGACGCCTGAGCACAGGAACAATTATCGCATCAACGAATTATCTGAGGCATAATCGGTATCAACACCAGAAATCTCTGTACCTTAACGAAAGTAAAAACACGAAGTACTCATGACAAAGCTGGCAATTAATATTATAAGCAACATGCTGGTCGAATCTTGTATGAGACAATCCCCAGCTTGTCGAAGGCAAATTCCTTACCAGTTCCTCAAAACCCTATCAAATCCATAACAAACTTAACATCCGCCATTTGAAGCTGCCTGTGGGATTAATGAAATTCTGTGGCACCATAATCTAAAAAAAAATCGATCCAATTCCTGTCCCCTCTTAAAACACGCCCAAAATATCCGTTTCATCCAATCGCAGTAGACTAACATGTTGGTATCGGCTGTCCCCAGCTTCCTGGTCGTTCTCAGTTGCTTTAAAGCAAGCCGAGAATGTACTCTCGCGATTTATCATTGATAACCATTGTCATTTTTAATGATTACACAACATTAAAAGTTGACAGAGTGTTGTAGAAACACGAATGAAACACTACCTTTTCAGTCATAGTGAACGTCTTCTTACAGGTTTACCCATCAAACTACGTATACCTCTGCCCCCACCCCCCGGCCAATGTTCTCATATACGCGTAGTGAGCGGAATAAAACCAAACAAAATTCAACGCTAAAGAGCATTTGTACAATGAAGAGGGACGTATGATCTTACGTAAGTGGTATGAAATTTATTAGTTTAAGACAAACAAATGAGAGTCAGTAATGAGATAGCAAACGTTACACTCCTTGACATGGAGGTTGTGCACAACTTTAAGAAATGCAACAATCAAACAAACAAAGAGGCATATGTGGTAGGCCCATAGAATGTTCTTCTCTAATGCTAAAATGTGAAGAGCATCTAAAAACTAGTTTGTCATAAAGATAATTGAATAGAGAACATAATTAATATGTGACATTTCTTCTGAACTTGGTCTAAAGCTTAAGATCATCAAAAGAGAACTCTGAATTCTGAACCCAGCAATATGGGTCTCTTGATACCATTTCAAGTGAATTATCCTGTCCAGTCAAATTCAGGTGTGAGATATGGAATTCATCATCATTTATGACATGACATATTGGAGTGTTGTTTTCATCACACAGCTCTTCATTTCTTTTTATGGCAACTGGTTCTCTTAAACTCAGTGATTTTACTTGAGTTTCATTTGAGGATTTCAACCCTTCATATACAGGACCCTTTAAGACACATGTACGTTCACCATCTTCTTTTAAAATATTTTCCATTTCTGCAATAGAATTCTTGAGATCTTTTCCATCAGTTTTCAAGCTGTTGTGTACTTCATGTAATAGAGATTGTCTAATGCAGAAAGAAAGTAAAGTGTATGTATTTCCATGGATTAGAGAAATCATGCTATCAATGTCTTGCATAAGCTGAATGCGTTGAAGATGCCTTGCCA